CCCCCCCCCCACCAACCTTACTTTTTCCCCTGTCACAAGCTATGCAACTTTCTTAGACCCCCCCCCCCACTCCTCCGGAGCGTGACGCACTTTACGGACTGAGCCTTGTTTCATAATTTCACAGTGTCCTAACAATTTAGTCCTCAATGTGCCTGTCGTACACAATCACAATCTTGTAAAATGAAATATGTATCTTAATAACAAGTTCAATGTTTTTATATTGACACACACACACTTGCACACAAACGATCGATGGGGGCAACATTGTTTCAGCCTTGCACCACTCATAACCACGGTCAAATACAAACAAATCAAAATGCGTCCATGGCTTAAAGGTACCGCACTGGATACAAATCATAAAAGCACCGTCTAAGAGTGTAGCGTCCATGACTTTTATGTACTGGATACAAATCATAAAAGCACCGTCTAAGAGTGTAGCGTCCATGACTTTTATGTACTGGATAAAAATCATAAAAGCACCGTCTAAGAGTGTAGTGTCCATGACTTTTATGTACTGGATACAAATCATAAAAGCACCGTCTAAGAGTGTAGCGGCCATGACTTTTATGTACTGGATACAAATCATAAAAGCACCGTCTAAGAGTGTAGCGCCCATAAATTTTAGGGTTTCTCATATCCCGGATTTTTTGCATATCCCGGGAAAAACAGGATTAAAGAACCGTTCCTCCTGAATCCCGGGACAAAATAATGGCAATTGAAAATTGTTTATAAACTAAATTTAACTATGAGTTCTAAATTGTTCTTGTCTTTAAATGAATGGGGGAAAAAATGTTCAAGTTACTTGTTATATCTGGCCACTTGCCTTTAGTTGCTTCTTTCCCCCCTGCTTAGACCTAGTAATAGATAACTAGCTAATAATATGCTTGTAAGACTAAAGTCGGGTATGAACACCTGTTGAAAAAAAAAACCCTTTATACATTATATCATTTCAGCATTCTTCACATGTCACAAATTCTAGTTTTAAATCCGGCGCGAAATATTTACAAGCAAATGTTTCGATCAACTTGTAACAAAGGGTTGTTTTGAAAAAACTACAACAACAATTTATCATGTTAATAAATACATCTGTGTATGTTTATGTCGTACTATGTTGATTTTGGAAGAAGGAGACGCCCACATACAATATGAAGGTGGATTGTCACATAAGCCACCTGGTATAATACGTTACTACAGCTTGGGTTCTCAGACCGTGGGGCGTCACCTCAAATGGGGTGCGGGGAAAGGGGGGGGGGGATTTTTGTTGGTTCTTTACTAGCTGAAACAATATACCTGGATAAATAGTGAAATTTAAATAACTTTTTAAAAAAAAATGTGTTCAAGTTATTAAGTTGCAATTTCAATCATGGCGTGAAATATAGCGTTATTACGACACTCAAAAATCTAGTCTTACTACGTTTTCATTTCCAAAAATGAACGATATTCTAAAAGCCTTTTTTTTTTTACCTAATACATTGTGGTAAGTGTCACTTAGCTTATAGACTGTATCTGGATAAAAGGAATCCCTTTTAAAATAATGATGAAAATTTAGTGGTAAATATTTATCGACATCTTAAATTTTGAAAACGCCAAGCGATTCTAACAGAGCCTTATAAGTTTTAATCAGGGAGCGTTAATTATTTTTAATAAGCAGGTCAGGACTAAAAATGAACTGCGTGTTTAAAAGTGATGAAAACACACTCGTATACAGACTAAAAATCTTAGTATACTATTTTACCCATGTTCATGAAGATTTTGAAATTCACGTTTGCCTACATTTCAACACGCAAGATGCAAGTAAACTATAGTCTTGGGTGGGAGAGACGTTTTGATGTATGTTCTCTTTCAAAACAACAACAACAAAACCAACAATCTACAACAAAGGTAATAATGAGAGGAATATAAAAACTTAATAAATAAATTATTTTTTTTTGGATTACATTAACAAAACTGTTTTTTCTTGTTTAAATAAAAGCTTTAAAGACAAGCCGCGTTTTTCGGGGATAAGAAGGGAAACGATCTGGGAACATGACGTGTCTGACATCCCTATGGAATCCAATATTTCGATTTCTCCTCTGAAGTATGCAGTAAATTATCACAGGTATACTACTTGAAACACCAAATCTTCAGGTTATACCAAAATATTTGGGTGCAGGAAGAAATGGGTTACAAATATTTTTGATTGAATAATTTTATACAAACACAGTTAACCCTATAGGAACTATGAAGTATAATGGCGGATACCACACAGAGGCCTGCATGAACCAAAATCAAAAAATGGAACAGTAACCACGTTTCAGAAAGTCTCTACAATTTATGGCATTGAACTCAAATTTATTTTGTTGTTTTTTACCCTGGGAGACCTGCCAGCCTCTAATTAGATGTCGATCGTGTGACTTCAAATATTTAAGTCAAACCAAACATGACTTCAACACAGAGCCTCGTTAACTATACGACATCTGATAACAACAACAACAACCCTAGAGTGAGTATAATCACCGACATTATATTTTGAATTTATGTTAATTAGTGTTATTTTAAACATAAATATTAATAGTAGTATTAACATAAATAGTAATATTTTAAAATTTAGTTTTGAGCTTAAACGAAACAAACTGAACATTTTGCCAGGTCATTTCGTTTCTTTTTGTCCGCTCTACATAGAAAGCAAACAAATAACAACCCTCTAAAACTGTATCATTTTTCTCCGGGGCTAGTCTCAAATTTCTCTTAGCTAGATTTAAAAAAAAATTTAAAAAACATTTACAAAATCAGATTCTCTGTCTTCGCAGGTCATCTTGTAGAAACGTCCCAGTGTTGGCAGTGTGGCTGTGAAATGAGACCGCTCTCCTGCTCAATAGTCAATTCTTGTCTTGATTGATTTTCGAGCCTTTGGTTACAGTAAGCCAAAGGTCAAAGGTCCAAGTGCGCCTCAAGCTGCCATTCCTTCAACCCATTGGGGAAATTATTTTTAACTGGCGACCAATCAGAGCAAAGATTTTTTTTTTTTTTTTTTTTAAACCCCTTTTTCTCTAAAGGGCTAGATGCAGCCATCATGGGGTCACTCTAAAACGGATTGGTCTCCATTCAAAGTTTGTGCACTCGGGCTGACGCTATGGAAATGCAGTGTTCGGGATTACTGCCAAAATAACAACAAAAGACAAGCCTAACGACAGTTTCACTTATTCCGAACCACTTCCGGTGTCTAAGATGTCGTCCGCATCCCTGCTCAGTTTTTTGCACCTGTCCATCATGGGGTTCCTGACCCTGACCGAGTCGAGCGGGAGGACGCTGGACGTCGTGGAGGCCATGGAGTTGAACCTCTCACTGAGCCTGGACACGCCCGTGCTGCGGCGGTTGTCTCGGCCCTGTTGTAACCGGTTCATGTGGAGCTGCTGCATGCGTCTCTCTCGTAGACTCTGTGGGGGACCGCGGCACTGGAAGGGAGGGGAGGGGGGAGGAGATAAGGAAGTTGTGGATATAAAAATGATGGTGTAAAGGTGATTGGTGTGGCGATGGTTGGTGTAGAGATGATTGGTGTTGAGATGATTGGTGTGGAGATAGTTGGTGTGGAGAGGGTTGGTATGGAGATGATTGGTGTGGAGATGGTTGGTGTAAAGATGATGGTGTAAAGATGATTGGTGTAGAGAGGATGGTGTAGATATGATTGGTGAAGAGAGGATGGTTTAGGGATGATTGATGAAGAGAGGATTGGTGTAGAGACGATTGCTGTAGAGAGGATGGTGTAGAGATGATATCAATTATGGTTCTGCTTGCATTTGATACTTGTGAAAATAAAGATGGCTACAACTTTAAAAAAAAAATTAGCAATAAAAGAAAATGGGTAAAACTAACTAAATATCTAATTATATGTTCAAATTTTAGAAACTATTGATTTGGTATGTGTCATAAGGGATTCGTATTACACATATGGACACTTGGATTAACAAAAGACTTTAAAAAAAAAAACAAACATCATCAATGCATATGTAACGGACAACCAGCCGCCCCAACCCTAACCCTAACCCTAACCCTAACCCTAACCCCCAACCCTAACCCTAACCCCCAACCCTAAATACCATGCTGAGTCAGGTGTTTGATAGGGTCAATGGAATCCTTAGATGTAAACAGAACCATTGCAGTTGCATAAAAGCTTTGAGTGAATGTAGATAAGGTTGAGCTGTGGATAAAATATAACTAGTAATGGAAAGTAGTTTAGATTTCACTGAGTAGATCTTATTAAATTACATTAAAAAAAACAACAACAAAAAAAAACGACAAGTGGCCCCCATAAGTCACGAGGCGGCTCTGTATTCATACAGTAGCCAAGCCGGGATGATATTTATTACTAATAAAATTAATACACTTACACACATGCCCATCATGTTAAAACCCTCCAAGCTGGTTGTAACATTCATGTTAAAAACCTCTTCTAAATCATATCCGAACACTTCGTTCCGCCCCCCCCCCCTTTTTTTTTCTATGGAGCACCTGACAAACAAGCACAAATCTCTTGACTGGAGCAAACGGTTACCGGAAATGTGATCGAAAGAAATTTCGTCGACAGTAAGTTGATCGACGGAAATTTGATCCAACGGAAATTTGGTCGAAACTTTTTTTTCAGTGCACACGTTAAAATTTTCGTCGATTTTCTTTTTTTAACCCACTATACCATGTATTAATACAAAATAATGCGTTCAAAAAGAAATTTGAAGCAAACTTTTAACTGAAAATAAAACATAACAAAAAAGATTCGACCAAATTTCCGTCCGATCAAATACCGTCGATCAATTTACCGTCGACGAAATTTCCTTCGATCAAATTTCGGGATACGGGAGCGGACAGCACAAAACACGCCGAGAAACCGCATGTACCTGAAAAACCCGTAAGAAGGCCTCTCTGAACTTTTTGTTCATGAAGCAGTAGGTGATGGGGTTACAGCAGGAAGACAGGTAACTGAGGAGATGGAACAGCGTCTTGGTCAGCGGAGTCAATATCTGGGGGGAGAATGGCAGGTTGCAAGATTAGACCAAGTTGACAAAATAGCTGTTTTTTTTTGCAGTTTGACTAAGGTGACCAGTCATACTGTTTTGACTAAGGTGACCAGTCATACTGTTTTGACTAAGGTGACCAGTCATACTGTTTTGACTAAGGTGACCAGTCATACTGTTTTGACTAAGGTGACCAGTCATACTGTTTTGACTAAGGTGACCGGTCATACTGTTTAGACTAAGGTGACCGGTCATACTGTTTTGACTAAGGTGACCAGTCATACTGTTTTGACTAAGGTGACCAGTCATACTGTTTTGACTAAGGTGACCAGTCATACTGTTTTGACTAAGGTGACCAGTCATACCGTTTTGACTAAGGTGACCAGTCATACTGTTTTGACTAAGGTGACCGGTCATACTGTTTAGACTAAGGTGACCAGTCGTACTGTTTTGACTAAGGTGACCAGTCATACTGTTTTGACTAAGGTGACCAGTCATACTGTTTTGAATAAGGTGACCAGTCATACTGTTTTGACTAAGGTGACCAGTCATACTGTTTTGACTAAGGTGACCAGTCATACTGTTTTGACTAAGGTGACCAGTCATACTATTTTGACTAAGGTGACCAGTCATACTGTTTTGACTAAGGTGACCGGTCATACTGTTTTGACTAAGGTGACCAGTCATACTGTTTTGACTAAGGTGACCGGTCATACTGTTTTGAAAAGTACATGTTAGTACGGTAACGATGATTGGTCTCAGCTAGTCGCGAGTTGGAATCAGTGCAGTTTAAGATTATAAATTCCGCCCCAAAACGTCATGTTATGGTATCAAAATTTAAACTTAATATTTTTCTTAAAATCAATTTGTTCCAAAATAAGTATTGGTTTTATTTATCGCCTTTACTTTTGTTATTATTTTTTTAAAATGTATAAATGTATTCTTTATATAAATGGACTCAAGACCCATTTATAATTAAATCATTTATGTTTTTTCTTCCTTCCAAATCTGAAGTAACTGTGGCTAAAACTAATAAAGTTGAGGGGGGGGGGGTCATGGCTAATAAACCCCCCCCCCCCCCAACCAAAAAAAAAAAAAACTCTACCCTCACCCAGGAGAGAAAGGAATTATATTCTACCCCCACCCCAAAAAAGAAAAGAGTTATATTCTAGCCCAACAACAATTTCTCATGCTGTTAGATTTCTTTCATGAATTTAAGCTTTGGGGTGAAATGAATCTTATATCCAAAATCAGATAAATGCATTAAAAATATTAATAACAAACGTTAAAATTGAAAGTCATCAATTGATCGAATTTACGGGGGTAAACCCAACGTCATAAGAATCCATTTAGATAACATTAAATAGCTTTGATTTCTTTTTCCCCTTTCTGTTATATTTTTAAGCAACTCTAATCAACATAAGCTGACAGATGCTACCACAGCTACATCAGAACTTATTTAGATGACCCCTTTTTAAAAAAAAAAAATTAAAGGGCATTGAATAACATGTGCTAACAACCCTTCACCTGCAATGAGCTGTCGTTGTGGAACGCCATCCACGTGCTCATAATGTAGACGGGGGCCCAGCAGATGAAGAACTCGAGGACCACCGCGAACAGCATCCGAATGACTCTCAGCTTGTTTTCCCGGATTTTCTGCGGATTACTGTGACGTATACGGTGCTTGGCCGAGCGGAGGGATTTCCTCCCTGTAGGCGGCGTGGTTATCGTTCCTGAAACGGAAATGACCAATCTGATTGATAACGCCTGGCTTGTGTTATTATATTTCTGGGGGCTCTCATATTGTCCTGAAATATGCAATTTTATTTCAGGGGGTCTCAAATTGGCCTCGTTTGAGTTATTACTGTTACTATATTCAGTTTGTCTTACACAGGAGATTAAAAAATATTACCTTCAAGGGGGAAGGGGGCAGATAATTTTACCATAGACAAAATCAGAAATTATTTTTTTCTAAAACAAAAATAAATACTTTGTTGGATGCGGCTATTCGGACCCGGGTCCCTTTAGACAAAGTGGCTATTCGGACCCGGAGTGGATCCGTATAGATTGAATGGTTTCGGACCAGGGTGTTAAAACAGTAGAAGTAGTAGTATGAGCTTTTCTTTTTTTTAGAAAAATTTTTTCATAGATTCAACGTTTTATTCTTTTCAGTTTTTTTTTTTTTTTTGCTTTTTTTTTTGTTAATTTTCTTATTGTTGTTAGTTTTTTTCCTAAGTTTTTTTTTTAGTTTGTGCTATTTTTTTTTTTTTTTTTTAGAAAATTTTTTTCATAGTTTTTTTGTTTTATTTTTTTCTGTTTTTTTTTTTTTTTTGCTTTTTGTTTTGTTAAATTTCTTATTGATGGTAGTTTTTTTCCTAAGTTTTTTTTTTAGTTTGAGCTATGTTCGTAGATCAAATTTTTTTAAAATCTAGTAGTAATCAAGATGATAAATATACATTTATTTTCCTTAGAATTTTAGAAAAGTAAAAATATTCCTTTGATTATTAGAACTAAATCCTTTATTTAAGATTATTTATGTGTATTTTTTAAGTAAAATATTTAATCACACATTACTTTATGGATTAATTAGGCATTCTCAAAAATATTGAAAATTGTAATATCCTCTAAAGAGAGCTTGGACTAAATCAGAACACAACCACCAATTTTTGGAAAACCCTTTTCCCGACAATGGGAGTAATAATTACTGGGTTTTTTTTTTCTGATCTCCTCGAATCTCCTTTCAAAATATTCTATCTCAATCTCATACTTGACCTAATTTCACAAGGTAGTTTAATAAAGAATGCAATTGTATAAAGCATGAGAAAGAGACTTATTAACTGATTACTGGGTCTAGCACACCGGCGCATCATTTAAAATTTAATAGACAAAAAAAAAAAAAAACCTTCTTAACTTTTTTTTTCACTTTTTTTTTTTTTAGTTGTGACCTCGAGGAATCCATCAAATAAATTAGGGGGCCAGTATGGAGTATGGAGCCAATAACAACATTTCATTGGGTCACATCCTTCCTTTGCCATTTGTCTCCTTTCACTTTCTCGCCTTCCCTGTTGGTACAGTAAACTATTCTTTGTATCGTTTGTGCATTAATGGACAGAAGTATGATTGAGTGGGAGCAACAACGGGATTTTTGAAGGGAGTTTGGTCAAGGCAAATGAGCCTTGCCACATTGAAAATAAAATACTGGACTGAGACTCGGTGACATAAAAAGAACCATTTTCTGTGATATAAGACTGTGGGTGTAATTTTTGATGACAAAAACTACTCATAAGTGTAGTTTTGAAACGTCTTTCTTCTAAAATAACTTAGTTGGAACTTTCAAATCTCTTGCACACACAACCAACCATTATAATAAATACAAGTTTTTTAGGGTTGTCACAAGAATGTAAATGCAAATTTATTTCAAACAAAAATGAACCGAAGCAGAATTTTACAAAAATATTTAAAAGGTGACAAAAATTCCATTTTAGTATTTTTAGTTCATAAAAAAAAATTTGTGTAGGTCATTTAAGCAATATTAAAATATAGGAGTCAAATAAGATGAAATTTAAAGCATATCAATGTGAAATTATCAGGCAATGGTGAAAACAATAAAATATTTTACAAAAATATATTTCATCAAGGCATATTCACAACAACTAAAAATTTACTAACGACTTAAAATTTTTTTTTTGAAAATTAATAAATAAAAAAAAAAACGGAAGATATCTTTACAAATTTTACACAATATTTTAGAACATGTTAATTTTTTAAATAATAAATCAACAGATGTAAGTTTATGAAACAAAAATCTGCCTACGAAATATAATAAAAATGGGTAATTACACAGCAAAAATTTATAATTTTCAGCACATGTTTTCACATGTAAATAAAAAGTAGTTGAAAATCTTTCGGAACAATGCATTGCCAATTAGCTGTGAAAATAAATTGACAAGAACAAGTCAACAATGATTATCTCAACAAGGAATGTTTACAAGAATGTAGCAATGAACTAAGGGTGACCAAATCATGAACTGGACTAAGGGTGACCAAATCATGAACTGGACTAAGGGTGACCAAATCATGAACTGGACTAAGGGTGACCAAATCATGAACTGGACTAAGGGTGACCAAATCATGAACTGGAAAAAACGGGACACACCCAAGGAGGTTTTGGGGGGATACCCTCCAGCTAAAGAGGGGTCCGGGAGCCTCCGCCGGAAACTGTGTATTGAAATCTGCTCATGTTAAGTTATTTGAACTATTTTCAGACGTAGAATTTCTTTATTAATTTACCTTCGCTTTTGTAATTTAATTTAAACTCTGAGGCATATCAAAAACGAAAACAATAATTTTGCTAAGAACTTATTTATTTATACATATTTTATAGCATAATGCAACATAACAAATTACATTTATTTATTTATTTATTTAGGCATTTTTATATAGCGCTTACCATAAAGCTCTAAGCGCTTTACAATTATTAAAAACATGTAAACTAAGTAAAATAAAAATGAGACACTAGGATAGTAACTACTGTACTATAGAAACAATGAAAATGGCTATAAAACGAGGACACTTTGACACGTTTTGGCCTATACTTCAGGATCAACCCGAAACAGAAAATGATGCAGGGCAAGGAGGGTGCATCACAGGTCATAGGCGGACCTAAACAGATCGGTTCTAAGGGACTTTTTAAAAGTGGACGAGGTTTCACAATGACGGATATGGAAGGGGAGCTGGTTCCATAACGTGGGCCCATTTCTCTAGTTTAGGATTTAAATTAAGGATATTTGGCTGTTGTCCTAGCCATTTTTGACGTTTGGTCACCCTAAATTAAATTTTTTTTTTTTAAATTCCTAAAAAAATACTAAGTAAGTTTTCTACTTACAATTTAAACTAATATAGTTATCAAAATACTTTCACAGTACCATTCAAGAAAAGGAAACACTGATGGAATATTTAGCATCAATCATTTATTATTTATTACAAGTAACAAGCAACAAAAATGTTTAAGAACTAAATATTCATTGCATCATTCATCGGGATAATAATTTATGTTCGAAGTCCCTCAAAATGGGCCATATCATAAGAGTGGTCATCGAAATAGTGATCTTCAGTAAGTCGAACGGGTTGAATCAGCATCAGTTCCAATAATTCAATAATTTCTAAAGTCTTTGGGCCCAAGATTATGACGTTACAGAATTTGTGTCTAATGTCTCAGCCCATCATTTCCCAATCCATTATGATAATAATATCTTGTATTTCTTTGTTCGATGCTGATTTTAAATGTTTAGCACATCCACCAGATGTCCTGACATTTTTTGCCTCCTATTTTCAGGGTAGAATCTAATTTAATCTTGACAACTGGAGAGAAAAAAAAATTAGTCCTTTACCGATTTAACCTAAACATTGTCTTGCTATCCTAAGTTAATTACCTAGGGAAACCCCTTTATATGAATCACACAGAAGTAACACAATTTTTTCTAACTTTTTAAAATTACTAATCATATATTAAAATAAAAATTACAATGATTAATTTTCTAATCACCTGACAATGTTGAAGACTAAAGTCATGTGTTTCTATGCTAGATAAAAATATGTCGCTAATATGATGAAAATATAATACTATATAAACTAAATATATTACACAATTACCATATTGAAACTGAATAAACCCAAAAAACTGAATAATGGTAGATCTAACTGGACATTAGTATATATGTTTGCACACTTATGAGAAACAGTGCAGTAGTAAAATATACCAGAAATGTGACTTATGGTAATTATGGCAAAATAAATGCATCCAACTATGTATGCTGGTAAAACATTGTTTTTAATACCTCTTGTCCTGTGGGATGGCTCTCATGCATCAGGCTGCAGGTGGTCAATGTCATCTTATAGGCAGCTCCATCTTCCACCAGATTTACCCTGATACATGCTGGGCATGCGGTCTAGAATGTTCTGGAACACACAAAAAAAGAAAGGCTGATCAACACTGATTGTCTTTTCCATCGACTTTTTCTATTATTACATTAGGGATAAAATTACAATTATATAATTGAGTGGCATACAGGTATTTCGTTTTCGACACTAAAAATAGCTCTTTTAATCTTGCATGCGTTTGTCTCCGATACTCAGTGAGAAATCGTAGAGTTATCACTGAAACTGCGCTTAGGGTGAGACTGAGACAACTCTTGCCAAATCCATGCCTTTTTAAAAAAAAATTAATTAATGTATGTCAATCAATTATTTCAGATTTGTATTATGTTTGTTAAATTGTATGTACAGCGCGGTGAGCCCAGCCCTAGGCTGGGGTACCACGCTATATAAAACCACTTATAATCTTATAATAATAATAATAACTACACATTTATCTTACATTTCTATAATAGCCACCCATACTGTACAAAAATCAGGGTCAGAATATAAATACAGATATGTTTTACATTTTTAAGTCTATTTCCACTCTATTCTATTGACAGAGTGAAGAATATTCTGAGAGAGCGTGAGGGGAAAAAGGACTTACCGGTACTTTAGATTTGGGCAGATGTCTTTGCTAGTACTTTCTTTGGTACGATCCACTTGCTGGCAAACAAACTTAGCATTGCCATACTTTAGAGTATCCACAAATTGCGACTCTTTTCTCAACTGAAAGAAAATAAGCATGCATTCAATATCCAGACCCAGTATCACACCATTCATTAGGCATATATGTCCTGTTCCTATATTGCCTATACACTATATTTTTTATCTTTTAACGATAAAGTGGGGTATGCAGCACACATATTTCCACATCGATCCCATTTTTACAAGTAACACATATTTAATTCCTTGAAGAGTAGGGTTTGTTAGAAATTCAAAAAGTTAGACTACAACTACAATCCAATTACAAATAAGACAGTAGCCGAATTTGCCACCAAAAAAAAAAAGAGCAACTTTGATCTTGATGGCTTGTTAATGATTATAGAACTAGATTTAAAATGGAATTTAAAAAAAAATACCCTAAAATTATAAAAATAAACGAATCCTTACTTTCTTTGAGCTTTATTTAACGTACAGCATGTCACATTCTTCATTATGTTTCTTCAGCGCTGCACGAAGTCTTGGTAAAATATGCACCGCTCTCGGTTGATTTTAATGGCTACCAAGCGACGACAACAAACAGGAAGTAACCGTCACATGACCAACCGAATATGGGCCCCACGTGATCAGTCGGGTCCGAATAGCCACTTTGCACTTTGTTAAGAATCAAGAGAGTTTATTCATTGAAATATTCTTAAGCTACTAAGACTAAAAAAAAACAACTTGGGGTGTAGAGACCGACCGAATTTCGGCTTCGGCTTCGGCTTCGGTTTCAGCGCCAAAAGTGGCCATTTTATCCCTTTCGGCCAAGTTTCGGTTTCGGCCGAAAGTCATTTTAAACTTTTGGCCTATTTTCGGCTTCGGCCGAAATCAGAAAATCACTTTCGGTTGGTCTCTATTGGGGTGCCAATGAAATACAATGATGTCGTATGACAGGCGTGGGGCGCCCATGACATACAATGATGTCGTATGACAGGCGTGGGGCGCCCATGACATACAATGATGTCGTATGACAGGCGTGGGGCGCCCATGACATACAATGATGTCGTATGACTGTTGCTTAGTTTTGCTCTGTCAGTTTGTTGGCTTGTGTGTTGTCAAAATTTGCATCTAAATTATGAGCCACTTCCTGGTGGCCAATGGAGCTGAAACAATGAACACTGAGTTCATTAGGCGCCACACACGTTTTCTTTTAATGATGTGTTTGTACCAGATCTGACATTTTAGCTCATTTGAAGATGAGGAAGTGGGTCAAAATGAAGATGCACGATTTGACCCGCGGAGGTCACACACTACCACATTAAGGTCACACACTACCACATTAAGTTCACACACTACCACATTAAGAAACCAATCATTTATAAAGAAACCATTTATTTAAAAAAAAAAAAAAAAATTTATTAAAGTAACTTCAGATGTAAAAAAAGTGAGCTCTAAAGTTATTCACATGACAATATGACTGAAGGATGGATTACCTGGCCGAGAGACGCTCTTGACACTATGACTGTATGATGGATTACTTGACCGAGAGATGGTCTTGACACTATGACTGTATGATGGATTACCTGACCGAGAGATGGTCTTGACACTATGACTGTATGATGGATTACCTGACCGAGAGATGGTCTTGACACTATGACTGTATGATGGATTACCTGACCGAGAGATGGTCTTGACACTATGACTGTATGATAGATTACCTGACCGAGAGATGGTCTTGACACTATGACTGTATGATAGATTACCTGACCGAGAGATGGTCTTGACACTATGACTGCATGATGGATTACCTGACCGAGAGATGGTCTTGACACTATGACTGTATGATGGATTACCTGACCGAGAGATGGTCTTGACACTATGACTGTATGATGGATTACCTGACCGAGAGATGGTCTTGACACTATGACTGTATGATGGATTACCTGAGCGAGAGATGGTCTTGACACTATGACTGTATGATGGATTACCTGACCGAGAGATGGTCTTGACACTATGACTGTATGATGGATTACCTGACCGAGAGATGGTCTTGGGCGGCGTGATGGCACCGGAACACGAGAAGCTCGTGTCAGTTGAGGTGAAGGACGAGACACTGCGACACGAGTCTTTATTCAGCAGCCTCAACTCAATGGTGCGGTAGTTGGGCAGGACGTAGTTGGTGCCGTCTCCTGGTGGTTCAGACAAGCTAGACATTTAAGGCACGTGCAATACATTCATGGGTTCATTTTCATGTGCGTAATAATGTATGTGTCTTATGTTCATGAGACACAATGCTCACCATATGCGTTATGTCAATTAGGTGAATTGTTTCATCATGTCCATTTAGATCGGGTTCATTGTGTTAATAATGTGAATCTTGTGAATTATGTGAATAATGTTCATTGTATACGTTAGGTTCATCCTAAACATTATGTTCATCCTAAACATTATGTTCATCCCATACTTTATGTTCATCCCATACTTTATGTTCATCCCATACTTTATGTTCATCCCATACTTTATGTTCATCCCATACTTTAAGTTCATCCCATACTTTATGTTCATCCCATACTTTATGTTCATCCCATACTTTATGTTCATCCTATACATTATGTTTATCCTATACATTTTGTTCATACTATACATTATGTTCATCCTGTACATTATGTTCATTTGTACATTTTTTCCATCTTGTACATTATGTCCATCTTGTACATTATGTCCATTTTGTACATTATGTTCATCTTGTACATTATGTTCTTCTTATCCATTAAGTTATACACATTAATTAGGGGGTGATGTCATGTCTTGAATGTGTATATGAAGAGCTCTGCAGAGCCTGATATAACTATACGGACTAAAGATACAGAGTATTGGGCCACACGAGACCCAAGGGGCTCTGAAAGCGGGCCCTTAGCTTCGGTATGTGATCAACTGCTCTTATCTGGCGGCTTTGAAGTGTATGGCTTTTTGTGTATGTGCCCAGCCACAAACCTGTCAATACGGCCCTGGAAGGCTGTGCATGCCCAGCATGGTTGTTCAAAGCAGTATTGATGAGCCATCAGTTAACGTGAATACATATGTAGTTATTTAATAGCGACAGGGGTGGCTCATACAATCAGTTTTACATTGTTAAATTATTTATTTAATTTTTTTTTAAAGAACAACTGAAAAAAAAAACACATGTAAAATAGCAGCCCTACTTCAATCGAGAGAAATAAAAGCTTTTCAACCACAGCGAGAGGTGTGATCACCGCACAAGAACCTCTGGTACAGTGTCATCAAATTAATGTTTCATTCGTCAACAATGACTTCCTGTAGTGTAGACGTGATTTTATTGTTTCAATTTAAATGAACACGAAATATAAATTCAAGTTCTCATACTGATAAACAGGGCATCGAATGTAGTGATAAACAGGGCATCGAATGTATTGATAAACAGGGCATCGAATGTATTGATAAACAGGGCATCGAATGTATTGATAAACAGGGCATCGAATGTATTGATAAACAGGGCATCGAATGTATTGATAAACAGGGCATCGAATGCTTGATTTCATATTTCATATCATGTTTCATATGGAGTCGATCTGAAATAATTTAACATTAAAATTGACAAGATCAAGATTGCCGTAAGAATTTGACTAAAATGTGGTGGAACTCAATTTAAAATTCACTTTTTATTGTGTACGCTTCTTTTCTTTTAAATGATGAGTTTTGTATGCTAGGAGAGTCAACCAACAGACACGAGTGCGACACGTCAACTATTGACACATCATCTTCACACTCGCATAGACTTGCGGTGGCTAATGGACCGTGACATCAAACACTCGGGTCTGCAAACCCGTGCCAGGCAATTGACCTAATATCATTCTCTTGACCAAATAACAGAATGTTGAACGGTTCTTTCAGGGGAAAATATAAATATTTAATGGAAAGGATTTCAATGACGTGACATGTTGTTGAGCGGAGTTGTGGGGGACTGCTGAGTGCTCCCAACTACTACCACTGCTGGTGCATATAATATTAGGCTAAATTATCTCATATCAGAAAGGATTTTGAACTTTAAACGGTTTCACCAGAATTCGACTCCTGGCCAATCACTTAGAGGCGTTTGAGAATGATCCGTCTATTCCAGCGGTTCTCAACCTGTGGGTCACGACCCCTTTTGGGGGTCGCGCGACCATTTCACAGGGGTCGCCTAAGACCATCTGAAAACACATATCCTTTCAGCTATGAAGTAACAACGAAAATAATTGTGTGGCGACACGAGAAACTGTATTAAAGGGTCGCGGCATTAGGAAGGTTGAGAACCACTGGTCTATTCAATTACAGAGTTTTGCGTTGACCCATCCCTCACCAGTGGAGACTTTTTTAACGTTCGGGGCAAAAAAAAACATTTTCAGTTTGTAGTATGCGTTCTACAGCATTTGCCATACGTGTTGACGCTGACGCCTTAATTCCTCTAGATTCCGTTCAACTCAGAGATCTGAACTTAAACGTCCAACGCGCATAGACTTAGTCTTAGGTCAAACTTTTAGCTTTTTAAATTTTGAAAATAAGTGATTTGGAAACACTCCAATACATGTGTTTACATGTTTACTAACATTTCTATGAACTGGTAGGTTACATTTTTGTATAATGCGCCATTTTTGTAATGTATATGTCTTGTGAACTGTGTCCCCCCCCCCAAAAAAAAAAAAACAAAAAAAAAATTTTTTTCTACCATTTTTTAATTTTAAAAAACCAAAGTTTTTTATTATTTTTTTTTTTTTTTCTCAAAAAACAAGTTTAAAAAAAAAAAAATTTTTTTAATGTATATTTTTTTGAAACTTTGCCCCCCCCCCCAAAAAAAAAAAAACAAAAAAAAAATCATTTTCCACCAGTTGTGAATTTCAAACTACCAAAGTTTATTATTATGATTTCATTACTTTCGAAAAAAACAAGTTTAAAAAAAAAAAAAATCTATGAATATTTTTTACCCTAAAAAATTTTTTTTGAAATTATTTGTATTTTAAACTACAACACTGCTACATTTTGTCCTTGTCCTTTTGGTTCCTCCCAGCGTGGCAGCGTAACATTAATGTTGATATTTCTTTCAAAGTGAGTTAAATTTGTTTGGACTTCTCCAACTTGTGGTTGAAGTACCGAGACTGGCCCGACTCAAGTCGGGGGAAAACTTGCCCAGATATTAAATTAATACTCGGGGAACTCTCAAGAGAGCGATACCCTTAAGACAAGGACCTCGCCTCGGTATCGATTCCTCTCCGCTGACAGTGGCGCAGCTTCCCTCTCTACAACTCTTCACTGTTCAACACGTAGTCCCCTTCAGCTCCCCGGACCCCTCCTGCCCCCCACCTCAAATCTTGTTATACGGTCCTTTTATTGGTGTGACGCAGACTCGTCTCTTATTTTCTCCGCCTTAGTTTCACGTGATTTAAACACACAGCAAAAACAGTCACGATAATGGAACAGTTACGGGTGACAACTGACGATGTTGCGGAAGTCCTGGACAGTCATTTAAGATCGTGGCTCTAACCCAGTACTCGTGTGAAGGTCCAGCCGTAGTACTCGTGTGAATGGTCAGCATAGACACTGTTCAGCCCCAGTCATGTATCCAGTGTTCAGCCCCAGTCATGTATCCAGTGTTCAGCCCCAGTCATGTATCCAGTGTTCAGCCCCAGTCATGTATCCAGTGTTCAGCCCCAGTCATGTATCCAGTGTGATAAAATGTTCAACGGAAAAATCATGTTTCTCTTTTTATCGCTAATATAAAATACTGTCCCTTTAAAAAACATAGATGGGCAGGATGTCATAGATAGTACTGGATCTACTGTCATAGTGATAGTAGTGGATCCACTGATAAGTTTATGATTCTTACCTATAGAATAACTTAACTCCCTTAACGTCTGATGCACACGTACATCCAGGACATGCGACTAATTAATGTGTCCTTTTGGAACCACCAAAAACAAAACAAAGAGAAAACAACCCAAACTGAGTTCTGAATAAAGGGCATTCGTGTCTTGTTTTTGTAGCGCGGGTTCTTTAGCTCGAATAACCAGCGTTTCGGATAATCGGCGCTCCGGCTAATAGACCTTGATGTAGAAAAAGTCTGTGTGGAAAATACATTAATAATAAGATTTGGTTCGTTTGACTCCATGCGGTGTACACCAGATCCACACTTTTAAATAGCTGCCTCCTCTTTTTCCTGTTTAGGTTTTCACATTTTACTTCCATCCACTTCCTTTCTTTCCATCCACTTCCTTTCTTTCCATCCACTTCCTTTCTTTCCATCCACTTCCTTTCTTTCCATCCACTTCCTTTCTTTCCATCCACTTCCTTTCTTTCCAGCTTCTTCCTTTCCGTTCTACTGAGCTTTGTTTTGTTAAGGACTTGCGCCCACTCTTAATCTTTTCTCTCATTTTAAGTAGGATACGTGTATACGTATATTATGTAAATTTAACGCAAAGGCATGTTTTTTTGTTGTTGTTTTTTTTGTACTGATATAGGCGTTGGCCGAAACATTTGTATCCCTTTGTATTCTGTCTAATCATTATTAAAGTTGAACTGACATTGTGTTATTTACACAAAAAGTTTTTTATTTTTTTAATCTTATTTATTAATGAAAAATGTGATTATAAAAAAAAAGGGAAGTAAAACTCCCCAGTCCATTGGCGGCCATTGACGATGACCATAGTACGCGACTCATCTCCCATTAACGATACCGAGACGTCCAGCAAAGGGAGCGTACTCTGAAACCTCTCGGCCATGGCGTCGCGGAGTCGGGGCGTCGATTGGCCGGTGTGACAGATTCAGGATGTGATATCTGGAAAACGGATGGGCACGGCACCCGGGAACAATCTTCGTCGAGTGTCAGCCTGGCCGGACGTTGGTCATATTCGATACATTACCATCGGTGATAAAGGTGACCTGGTGACGAGGGTGACTCTACCCGGCTGAAGGTATTCACATTTAAAAAAACAAAAAACAACAACAACAACAACAAAATTGGTTTAAGTTAGACTACATTTGTTTGATGAATAGGAACATGGGAGTAACTATTTGGCCATTGCGCTATAATCAAACTATATACGTCGATGCAGTAATCCACAACTGATGTCACTATGCTGGTGATTTGTAACATCCTTTGTTTTTTTCGTGTGTTTTTTTCTTTCTAGGGTTTGTTGCAAAATCTTCAAAAGGCGAAATGACCCACTTCCATCACATAGTCTTGTTTCCACAGACATCACATTCTATCAACTGTTCAGCCCCTGGCTGCATACCTAAAAAAATCAGTTTCAGCGCTCTCAGATGCCACTGATTTAACGAAAGGAAATCCTCCGCTAAATGAGATACTTTAAAACTAGTGCAAGTTCGTTTGGTGCGTAGACCTAACATGTTCTTTTGCTTTACGGAAAAATGAGGTGTCATAAATCTGTGGTCTAAAAGCGGGTTTGACATTAGAATATTAATATAGCTCAGGGGCGTGTAAAAAAAAAATGTGCGGTGAGAGACTTAAGAGTTGTGGGAGGGGGGAAAAAATTGGGATTCTTATAAAGTGCTTTACTTTTACGCATAATTTGTCCAATTGTGAGACCCACCCCCCACCCCACTGCTCGATATGCACCCTATAAAAACCAGTGCTTAACCCCATCGCCCCACCCCCACAGACAAACCTTTTTTATAAACTCCATATATGGTGTACATATTCCTAGCCAAATTGTTTCCAAACTCCATCTATGGCGTACTCATTCCTTGCTACAGTTCAGTGTCGCCAATTATCGTTTCACATCGTTATCGATCTTCGATAGCCTTCCACGCGTTAGTCCACTAGTTCAGGTTAAATGCGGCACGCGAGACCTGTCGGAGAACTTGATGAATGTTTGAGTGAAATCCACAAGTTTCATATCATTTGATGCCATCGCCTTTGAAAATTAGCATTCGCAGTTTAAACTCATCAAACTGTAATCACAATATAACAGCAAAAACTTTTAAAAAGTCAACAGTATTGAACTGCTTATATACGAACCGAACTCAGTAGCAAGTTTTTAGACAATTGTATTAATTATGTGGCCCACCAAAACAAAAAAGAAAAAGATTTCCATGTATCTTTCTGCATAAAGAAGGGTTGCCTGCTCTTACACTAGTGGAATGTTATTTGAAACTATTGCCTAACTGGCTGTTTCGGATCAGAACTACCGTATAAGAACTCGGTAAGGAAGGGGAGCGCGTCCACTGGCCCATACCATAGCAATGAGGCAGCAGAACATCTGTGACGTAATGGCGGTCGATGCTAGACAATACTCACTTAACCGGATTGTAACGGAGACACAGGACGAACGACTGATGGACCCTGACACCCAGTATGAGTTGTATACACAGAATACTGGGGAAAGGTCCCCCTCCCCGGTTCACGACTGTAAATAATGCCAGAGGTTTTACATAATCATCTCGCTACTTCATGCGCCAGCAGACAATGTGGCAGCAGCCGTTCACACATTTTTCAACGGAATTTCTATAAATTGAAAGGAATAATTCTTTGTTGGGATGCAAGTTGCGACCCGCAGAGGTCACTAAAGGGTCAGTGGAGGTCATCAGTCGCTTGCCGATCATAAAGGGTTGTACTGTTATCGGGGTGGGCAAGTGCAATGTCTAAAGTTTCTGCTCGATCGGACATCAGGAAAAGGGTCAAAATTGAGTTGCAAGATTTGATCAAGACAAACAAACATGGAATGGTGCCATTTCAATTTGATATTGGGCATTATCTTTGGTGAATATATTTCATGTTAGAACCCTTTGTTCAAATAATAGCATTCTAATGTGAAGCTTATGACACCATCCTTCTAATGTGACGCTTTCAGGCGCCGCTCATCTAACATGACGCTTTGAGACGCCATCCTTCTAACAAGACGCTTTGAGACGCCATCCTTCTATCCTGATGCTTTGTGACGCCCTCCGTCGTATGTGACGCTTTGTTACGCCCTCCTTATTACGTGACCTCATCCGATAGTAGGGTAGGGTGCTGCCCGGGGCGGGGAAAGATTTTTGCCCATCCAAAACAAAAACTACTCAGTTGTCCAAAAAAAGGATGCCCCTCTATATCTGGGAAACAACCCCCCCCCCCCCGAGCGCATTGCCCCCTCTATCCCCATTTTCAGACGCCTGTACACATACTATTATAATATAACACTGNCCCAGCAAGAAGCTGTGACATCAAAACAACTTTAATAGTCATTAAACAATCCACAAGTCACGTACAGGGAATCGTCCTACAAAGCATGACTGCATTTAAGTCACAATTTAACCATCGCTGTAATATATTTTTGTGTATCTAAACGTAGTACAGTGCTTCTGTGAGGACACAAAGTGCCGTGGCAATGGTTTGTGGTGACCCAGGGTGTGGGGGGGGGGGGGGGGGTTGAGGGCGGCAAGAGCTTTGCAGTTTGCCAAAAATAACAACCCTCTGTAGAGTTTTTAAAAAAATTACCCCTCTATAGAAAAGAAAAGTCCCCCCCCCCCTTTCTCTTAGCGCCCCCTCCAACCTCACCATCGATGACACATAAATCCGTACAGAACGATGACCCCAGTCCCCATAATGTCGTCAATGTATTTCTCATCAGTCACTGACAACGAGCTGAAGATAACCTATTCATAGCCACGTGATAACCCTCACATCCGGGGACACAACAGCCCGAGGTGATAAACCAGGATGGATTAGATTTAGTTGTTTTGTATCTATAGTTATGTCACGTTTCGGGCTGGTCACTTTCAGCATCTGGCTATTGATATAATGAAAAATGGGGGAAGAGGGGGGGGGGGTAAATTTCAACAGAAATTGACTTCTAGAGAGGGAACACCTTGCACATGACAAGGAATTTATTTGCACACTAGAAAATATGACCCGGTGCTACCCGGATAATTATGGAAGGCATATTGCACTATTTTCTACTTTCAAGGTTTCAACATCTAAAAATCTTATTTTTTACGTATGTAACTGAATCAAAACAAATTACGACTTTTTTTTTACGCCTTTGTAATGAATGTTTAGGAAATAATAAAGCAAATGTTTCTTATTATAAACGAAGTTTCAATGCATAGCTATTTACGATTCTATGGTATTTGAATATTTTTTTTTTTAATCTTCACTACAATGGAGGCCTAACCCAATTTCTTTTTACGCCCACAAACTACAAAGCAAAAAATATTTCTTTTCGAAAAAGTTGTAAAAACATCTATGTCCTTAATTGTAAGAAATCTATCTATTTAACAGTTTAAATATCTTTAATATTATTAGATAAATAGTTATATGCATTAAAAATGTACCAAAAATTTTGCCTCGCGCTTGACAGAATGAGTTGCCCAAAATCGTAAAACACGTAAAAACAAGAACAGTGTAACAAGAACAGTGTAACAAGAACAGTGTAACAAGAACAGTGTAACAAGAACAGTGTAACAAGAACAGTGTAACAAGAACAGTGTAACAAGAACAGTGTAACAAGAACAGTGTAACAAGAACAGTGTAACAAGAACAGTGTAACAAGAACAGTGTAACAAGAACAGTGTAACAAGAACAGTGTAACAAGAACAGTGTAACAAGAACAGTGTAACAAGAACAGTGTAACAAGAACAGTGTAACAAGAACAGTGTAACAAGAACAGTGTAACAAGAACAGTGTAACAAGAACAGTGTAACAAGAACAGTGTAACAAGAACAGTGTAACAAGAACAGTGTAACAAGAACAGTGTAACAAGANCCCCCCCTCCAACCGCCCTTGAAATGTAAGAACAAAAAAATAGTAACATTGTTAAATAGTTACACAATAATTTAATTTTAATATTCTCAAAGTCCTTTCAGTTCCGGGTCATGACTATACTTATGTATATGTGACAAAGGATTTAATATGGATGGAGAATACGAACCAACCAGGAATTATACAGTCTATATCAGGATCCCACGATAGTAGCAGAAATAAAAAGAGGCAGGCTACGCTGGGCAGGACACTTAGAGAGAATGCCAAATGACAGAGGAACGAAGAGGGTGCATCACCAATACCCCAGAGGAAAAAGGCTCAAAGGCAGACCTAGGCTTATGTGGATAGATAATGTAGAAAAAGGTCTACATCAGCTGAAAGTCAAAGCATGGAAAAGAAAGACATTAGTTAGGTCTGAGTGGAAGGAAGTGGTGAGGCAGGGCAAAACCCTACATGGGCTGTAGCGCCACATGGATGGATGGATATGTGCCAAAAATGTGTTAACGTCCTTGAACTGTAACTTCCACCATTGGTGAAAAAAACCAACAACAACAACAATGTATAGTTTTAAAAGAAGCGACTGTAACATCATCGCATTTGTAGAGAACGTCATCCACACAACTATGTACACACCCTGTTTCCTCGCCTCTGATATGTGTTTGCTAAACAAGCAAAAAATTAAGTTTAAAATATATTTATATTATATAATATATATGTGTGTATGTATATATATATATATATATATATATATATATATATATATATATATATATATGTATAATGCAAACTCCCATTCTGGAGGGGGGGGGGGAAGGGTGAGGGAAAAGCGCAGCTTATGCTGCCTGGGTAAAAAAATTACAGCCCCACCCCCACAGACATATTTCATGAGGTTTTAATAACCATTAATAGAAGCCGCTGGTTTCCCCCACCCCCCCCACTTTTTTTTTTAACGTACGCCACCACACACGTTCTTCACGCTATTGAACTATATTTATATTCTAAGACCCCCACCCCGCCCCCCTTTAAAAAATAGTTCACGGCATAATTTCGTTAATGTAAAAAACAAAAGTCAAGGTCAAGGTCAAGGTATTTATGTTTAAATAAAAATCTTAACCAAAGTTCATATCTTATCCACATTTCATCGTGTAGAAATTGATAATTCTAATTCAACCCCTTCCCAGTTTTCCTCTCCTCTGTACGCCCCTGATCCATATTAATATTCCAATGCCCCACTCCTCTTTCCCCACACGCTAACTGCATTTTTAATATATTTTAAAGAAGTTCTTGTTACATTTCCGTTTAGGTTGTTTTTTAAATTTTTTTATTTGACATTGAACTCTATACAAAGTTCAAATCTGCAATATAATCGGGTTTGGAGAAATTGATTTTAAAATGAATCAGTTACAGCCTCATAGGTATGTTGATACTGAGATGAGTGATCTGTCTGTCAGTGAACAGTCTGTCAGTGAACAGTCAGTTCCTAGTTGTTTTTTTAAATTTTTAAGAGTAGTAAATGCAAATTTTTGAAGTGACTGACGCATGTTTCACATTGTTGGGTACGCGACAGTTGATCGTAACTACTCATTTCTCGATCTTCCCCAATAGCGCCAACTTTGATGTGTGGCGAGTGGGGTGGTGAAGGGGGCCTTTCCGATGACCCTAGGCTTGACCGTCTCGACATCCATTACGAGATAAAGAACAATGTAAACGTTTATGGAAACATCACATTTGCACTTTGAGTCGATGCCACAAAGAAGATGAAGCTGTCTTAGATAGTCCCCCCACCCCCCCTTTTTTTTTGGCCCGCCAAGGGAGAGAATTCTTTGTTTCCCAATTCACCTCAACAAAGCACTTCCGCGATTTAGCGCCCGTGTTGATGTCACGCATGTGCATCGTATGACCGTGGTAAAGGACTATAATATTTTGGCGTTTAAAGTTTGGAGTTTAGAGTTTGGAGACGATATGGCGATCACGAAAATAGATCAGATCTAGGAGACTAGCAACAAATTTGTTTTAGGAACTTGGCGCACTGGGTGGATCTTCTTAAATGTCTGAATAATGGGTATATCTGCTGAAATGTCTGCATGATGGTTGGATCTGCTGAAATATCCGCATGATGGGTGGATCTTCTGAAATGTCTGCATGATGGGTGGATCTTCTGAAATGTCTGTATGATGGGTGGATCTTCTAAAATGTCTGCGTGATGGGTGGATCTGCTGAAATGTCTGCATGATGGGTGGATCTGCTGAAATGTCTGCGTGATGGGTGGATCTGCTGAAATGTCTGCATGATGGGTGGATCTGCTGAAATGTCTGCATGATGGGTGGATCTGCTGAAATGTCTATATGATGGGTGGATCTGCTGAAATGTCTGCGTGATGGGTGGATCTGCTGAAATGTCTGCGTGATGGGTGGATTTGCTGAAATGTCGGCATGATGGGTGGATCTGCTGAAATGTCTGCATGATGGGTGGATCTTCTGAAATGTCTGCATGATGGGTGGATCTTCTGAAATGTCTGCATGATGGGTGGATCGGCTGAAATGTCTGCATGATGGGTGGATCTGCTGAAATGTCTGCATGATGGGTGGATCTGCTGAAATGTCTGCATGATGGGTGGATCTGCTGAAATGTCTGCGTGATGGGTGGATCTGCTGAAATGTCTGCATGATGGGTGGATCTGCTGAAATGTCTGCGTGATGGGTGGATCTGCTGAAATGTCTGCATGATGGGTGGATCTGCTGAAATGTCTGCGTAATGGGTGGATCTGCTGAAATGTCTGCATGATGGGTGGATCTGCTGAATGTGAAACAGTAGATAAACCACTAAGGTCAAACTTCGTTCTTCAAACGGAGACTTTCAGATAAGTTACACAATTGTGTCTTGAAGACAAATGGCTGCCATCGTCACTGCCCCTAAGTTTATTTCTTTGTATCCATCATAGAAGTGTGAAATGTATTGGCTATATTAACTAAGTGCATCAAATTAATACTTAGAGATGTGCTTTGACCCTTTATAAAGAAGTACATTGACCTGTATAGAGAAATAAATTAATTTGTACAAAGAAGTACACAGTGCTGTAAATATTAATTATAAAAGTGTATAGAGAAGTGCATAGAGCTTTATAGAGAAGTGCTTTGACCTGTATAGTGAAGTGCATTGAAGTGTGTAGAGAAGTGCACTGACCAATATTCACAGATACAAGAAAAAAGGCTAACTGTAATGATAAAGCAATTTCTTGATTGTCTCATGAGTGGTTGCACGTTTCTTCTAATTATTTGCAGGTTTATTATTAATATTTGCAGGTTTTTTTCATATTTTCACGTTTTTTATTATTATTTGCACGTTTCTTCTTATTAATTGCACGTTCCATATAATTATTTGCACGTTTCTTATTATTATTTGCCCGTTCCATGTTATTTTCGCACGTTTCATATAATTATTTGCCCGTTTCATATAATTAAAAAACTTCATGTTTAATATTTGATTATCTAATTCTTAGAAATGGAAATATTTTTTTTTTGTGTGTAAATTATATGAGTACGGACATTGAAGCAATCCCAATCCATCAAAGAAAACATCTGTTGGGAAAATTAAAAGCATGGATAAGCTAAACAGGGATTAAAAAGTGCCAGGAATTTGTGTTTGATTCAACGCTGGTGTTGCTGTGAAGAACAACTTGATGAAGAAACGGACCGATACATTGATGTCTTATGAATCATGTTTTTTTTAAAGCGTCATAGGTTGTTGTTTTTTTTAAAAACTCTTTTTAATATTTTTGGAAGTTTGTGATTTTTTTTTTCTCCTTATTCAAGGTCGTGTGGATGGATGCGAGATTCAGATTCAAGGCCGTGTAGATGGATGCGGGTGGGGGCTCGTCCAAAACGTCATCGATCTCCCTGAATTACCGACATGTTAAGACTCGCGTGATGCTCGTCGAAGATACAATCATAACACTAAATCAATAACGTGGAAATTGCCTTTTAGAAACTGGAAAATTTCGTCATTACAGGGGAATTCTGGGGGGGGGGGCAAGGAAATGATCTGCTACCGCTCGTACCTTCTTTCTTTCGTGCCGGCTGCAGGGTCTGATAACGGCGTGAAGTCTTGTGTTGACAAGAAATTAGAATCCCTGTATAAAATCAGCCACTATTTCCTGCTGTACCTTCTTTTCGTGCTGGCTGCAGGGTCTGATAATGGCGCGGGGGTCTTGCGTAGGTAAGGAATTAGAATCCCTGTATAAAATCAGCGACTATTTCAATCGTTCGCCTCAGGCAAGGCAGCGTAACGTTGTTGAAGTTCGTGTTTATGATGAGCAGACGTGAACCATACGAACAGCTGGGATTGGTAATGTCAGGACTTATTTAACGATGCCTTAGTCATCCATTGTCTACTACATTAGGATTAATAGGAGAAATAGGGCGGAAAATGTTAAGGTGGGGTGCAACGAAAATCACTTCATAGCAAGACTATAGATGATATGTCATAAACTCAAACAAATGACATGTCAAATTAATGATAATGGTTAACATGTCACAACGCTTGGTTTCATTTCTCATACAAGTCCAAATATCAGACAACATGACTCGTCGGTGTCGTTAACTTCCATTACATGGTTTCCTAAAAGGGGGTTCAGATGTGATGAGCTTTTTAAACATCTATATTAAAATAAGGTGATACCATTTTAAATTACCCATTTGTTTTCATTTTCAATGTTGCTTTCCCGCCCTTAAATGACACCTTGTGGACCCTCCACCCCACCCCCCCACTACCACGCGGGTGTCAGCACCCAATGTTGGAAAACGCACTAAATTCTCCTTTAAACGTCGGTCAACGAGAAGCAGGTCATCATTTAAGAAGTAGGTCGTCATTCAAGAAGTAGGTCGTCATTCAAAAAGTAGGTCGTCATTCAAAAAGGTCGTCTTTCAAGAAGTAGGTCGTCATTCAAAAAGTAGGTCGTCATTCAAAAAGTAGGTCGTCATTCAAAAGTAGGTCGTCATTCAAGAAAAAGGTCGTCATTCAAGAAGTATGCCATCATTCATGAAGTAATTTGTCATTTCAAGAAGTAGGTTGTCATTCAAGAGAAAAGAAATAAACATATTTAGTTTTGAGAAATTAAGTGGAAATAAAATAAAAAGCCAATCTATTGGAATCCTTTAGGAATTGCATAATTAAATAAATATATAATATTGTCCTTGAGACTCATTGAAATGAACAAATCGTGATTACCAGATTCATTGAAATGAACAAGTCATATTCTGTGAGATTCACTCACTCAAGATAAGTGAAATAAAATTGTACTTTGGGATCATCCACATTCTATTTCAGAGAGCCGCTAAAATAAAGTGAAAAGGACATCTCCTCTGTGAGATCCACTGTTAGAGGGAAAAAATAATAATAAAAGAGGCAATTTCCGTGACTCGAGTTTTTAACCCCCCCGGACCCCCCCCCCCCACCCACATCCCCTTCCCCCCAGTTGTAGCGCCCTCAGTTCTTCGAAGCTGTAACTCGATCATTTCCACATTCTATTTCAGAAAGCCGCTAAAATAAAGTGAAAAGGACATCTCCTCTGTGAGATCCACTGTTAGAGGGAAAAAATAATAAAAAAAGAGGCAATTTCCGTGACCCGAGTTTGTAACCCCCCCGGCCCCCCCCCCCCCACCCACATCCCCTTCCCCCCAGTTGTAGCGCCCTCAGTTCTTCGAAGCTGTAACTCGATCATTTGCTCGTTTTATGATTTGACTTGAGACCATTTTCACGACGTTGTCACTGTTTGAGCGCCGGGCCCCTAATCTAATCCATTACCTCCCCGAGACTGGCCACCGTTCAAATGAAGAGATTGTTGACGACGTGAACGACAGAGAGAAGCGGGCTGCGCGGTGACCAACCGACGGTGAATCTTGGCTTTAGAAAACGACGCCACTTTAACGTTGGTGTGTAATTAGGTGAGACCTGATCGAAAAGAAATAAAATCTAGCATTTAAAATGCGTGATGGTTACTTAACGAGTCAGTGAAGGGGAAGTCGGTAGTTTGAAAATGTTTCATGGTTGTTTACACCAGTGGTTCCATAAGGGCCCCGCGTGTACTTCTCAGGGGGTCTGTGGCCTCTCCCCTTCCCATACAACGAATGCTACTACTACTACTACTCAACATAACCTGTAAGACATAGGGGAGACCTACACAGCACCCCCCCCTCAAAAAGTGATCCTTAAAAAGCCCACCTCCCCCCCCAACCCCCCCCCCCGCGAGTCACAAAGACTGGGAACCACTGGTCCTCACAATATATTTAAGATTCCCGACATATCAAGAACTGATATTTCGTATGAACAGTTTACTTATGAGGTACATATCTTTGGTTTTGACAGCGGACCCTCCTCTAATTTTCTTGTCATTTCAAAGAGAAAAAAAAATGCATGATGCCCTGTGTGCAAAATAAGGGGCGCTCCAAGAAATCCAGAAACTACTAGAGCTTCCCCGATCATAGAGTTGGATTGCTAGGAAATCCCTGAACTATTTTTGACATGAACCCCGTGTTTACAAAGGCTAGCGACTCTAATGCTATGTATGACGAAGTATGGTGTGTTTAAGGGAGGTGTAGGCTATGGCTAGATCTTATGATCGCATTGATTATATCATCATAATTATCAGAGAAAACGCCGGCTGTTGATTATGTAAGACGAGATTAAGATGTCCGGTTGTTGCATGTTGGCCAATTAAAGATAACTTTTTTTTTATATCTTCTCTCTTATATTGTTACGCACTGCCTTCTATCGTGAGAAATTAAATCACTATATTTAGTTTTCACTTGACCGCGTTGCCCAGATCGCTGCTGTGATGGTATTGAGCCCTTCTGACTTTTAATAAATTCTACTTAAACGTATCGAGGATAACTAGTGTAGTGCTAATTATAACTCTTCTAACCAGAGAAGCCGGGTTTAAGGTCCGATGCTTGCCCAGGTGACAGTGGTGGACCAGTGGTGTGTGGCGACCATCTGGACATCCTAACTGGCATAACATCTTGGGGGGGGGGAGGGGTGGTTGCGGTCAGTATCACTGTCACAGTAAAAAAAGTCTAATATTGGCTTGTGGAAACTTATCAGTGGAGCCTTGTTCAATGGCCATGAAAATCCACTTGTTTAGAGCCATGTTCTTGTTAGGAAATATTTTACCGTATGTTAGGAATTGTGTTACAGCGTGGTGGTGAATCTAGATGACACACAAATTGGAAATAAATATTCTGCACACAACAGCTTTAACTTAAAGAAACAGGACAATTTCAGCATTATTCATCAAAAACATATATCACAAACTAGACAATTTCAGCATTATTCATGTTTTAAATTTGTCACAAGCTATACAATTTTAGCATTATACATGTATTAAACCTGTCACAAACTGGACAATTTCAGCATTATTCATCTATTAAACCTGTCACAAACTGGACAATTTCAGCATTATTCATCTATTAAACCTGTAACAAACTGGACAATTTCAGCATTATTCATCTATTAAACCTGTCACAAACTGAATAATTTCAGCATTATTCATCTATTAAACCTGTCACAAACTGGACAATTTCAGCATTATTTATCTAGTTATTCTACATAAATGACGCGATATACATTTTTTTATAACAACTGTTTTCCAAAATCTCAATCTAAATAGCTTTATATCATTTTTAAAAAGCAAACTGGAGAGAGTGTGAATTCCTTCCCGCAAAAGAAATACCGAAGTATGTGAACATTCAACTGTTTCCCGCTAAGTCCGAAACAACCAGCGGTCTCTATAGGATATTTTAAGATCAAATAATCACTCTTAGAGGTATTCTTTTCAGTAATGGAAGTGAGGTTTTATTTTATATAGTATATACTACAGCCGATTTTTTTTACAATTGAGAAATAATTTAAATGTCTTTCGTTTCATACGTTCTAACAAGTAGATGTTGATTTTTGTTTTAAAGTAATCTTGCTGGAAAAAATGAATACGTACAATGGACTCAATATGTACAATGGACACGATATGTACAATGGACACGATATGTACAATGGACACGATGTGTACAATGTAATCAAAACTGATCACCATTGATGCAGATCAATAAAAGACATTTTAATGAATGCTTGCTGATCAGGTTGCCGTCCCGATGTGTTCACACGTGTGTCAGAGTACTTGGACTGGATCGACAGCAACCAGTGATTCTTTCAGCTATATCTCCAGGGGGCAGTGCCCCCCCTCCCTGGGGAAAGCCAAGTGTCCCCCTCCCGGAGCAAAAATATGTCCAACAATAAATCAACTTGAACTGCTGGCACTGCCCCCCCCCCCCCCCCACCCCACACAAACACCCCCCCCCCTGGAAAGCCAAGTGGCCCCCGCCCGGAGCAAAAATATGTCCAACAATAAATCAACTTGAACTGCTGGCACTGCCCCCCCCCCGAAAAATCTGAAGTGCCCCCCCACCCCCCCGAAAATTTGAAGTGCCCCCCAACCCCCGGGAGGAAATTTCTGAAGGAAACACTAACAGCAACTAATTACACAGAACGTGTTCTACAAGAGCAACGACCGCCAAGTCAAGTGAACAATCAAGACGGAGCTCAGCTTTTATGTTACTGTGACAATTTCCCCAAACATGTGGTGAGTCATTGGAAAGGTTTTGCTCAAAATAAAAAGCCTCATTGCGATAAATAGTGCGTTTCTTGATGTTTTCGATAAGAAATTGCTGGTGCCAGGAAGTGTAAGAGGCGACAATCTGCATATAATTTTTGTATCACAGGGGAGACTACTGAAAAGGGACACAATTCGATATCTCTTTAGTTCCTAGGCTTTCTTCATTCCCTCTACAAATGAATGTTGCCGACAAGCAAATGTGGCGTTAATTTGACTTCGATAATGGTTCAAAATCAAAGGGCAGTAAATTTAAACACAAACTTTTGTGACGAGTTCTCATTTACGGCCCATGGATTCTTTTTTTAAACACCTAAACTCACGAATAAATTTTTTTTTTTTTTAAATTCCCAAAATGAGAAATACTGTGCCTTGTAATTGGGGATTCAACAGCACTTTGAAAATGTAACCAATTGAAATATGATTAGTCCCAGGGTGATTCATCCAATTCCATATCTTTATAAAATAAAGATTATCAATGAAAAATATTGTCTTCAAAGATACTAGTGATTATTTTGGAATAAAAATTGTATCATTCATCTCTCCCCCTTCCACCCCGGATGTATGTGTTTATCTGTTTGTCTTTCTCTCTGTCTGTGTATGTATGCAACACATTATTTTATCGCCATTTGAAATGGCTGAGAATGTTTTGTGTTCAATTGCCGTACAATTTAACAACAGTTTGAAAACACGTATCCCCGACAAAGTCCTGAAATTTTATATTTTATATGTAAATGTTGATATATATGCCTCAAAATATCACCTGCACCAAATATGTGTTGTATCATGTTGTATCCTTTCACTATATAAAAAAAAAAAAAAAACTGCCTTAAGTTTGTACAGATTTAGGTTTAGAAGAATGGAACCCCCCCCTCCCCCCACACACACACAAACACACCCGACCCCCATGCGGTTCCATTCCATGCCCCATGTGTTGCTTGCCAGCCTAATGAGAAAGAATATAATTATCTATCCTAATGAGATATCTTCCCCCTTAAAGTAACGTAACTGATTACCTTGGTTACAACAGCTGAGCTCGAGAATACAGGTTCGAGAGTAGCTCCAAAAAAAAAATAGGAACACGTACATGCCAAAAGGATGTGGTTTCTTTAAAAAAATTATAAAAATCTGCTCATGCGCAGATGGATCGGAAGCTTTGGCTCCAAATACGAGTAATGAGAGTTGTGTAATTAATTAGCAATTATTTTAATATTTTAGCTAGTCATGTGAAATATCCTGTAGTGTTGCATACGTGCAAAACAATTTTTCATAACAATTTGGGGAGTTAGAGGATATTCGTACTTTTTAAAGCAAGCTGCATGTAACTATTACCTTAAGTCAGGGGCTCTCAACCTTCCTAATTCCACAACCCTTTAATACAGTACCTCAAGTTGTTGTGACCCCCCCCCCCCAACATAAAATTATTTTCTTTACTACTTCAAACATATTTGTTTCACGCTGGTCTTAAGCAACCCCTGTGTAAGAGTCGTTCGACCCCCAAAGATCTCGCAATCCACAGGTTAAGAACCGCTGCCTTAGCTCATAATAATTAGAACTTCCCTCACGAGTGAATGCATATATGTTACAGCAAAAGCCCGAAGCTCGTCCAGTTCCAGAATTGGCCGGCAATTTCGCAATTTGGCTGAGGCATGTGACCCCATTTCGGATGTCCTGGAAATGGCCAGTGCATAGGCTACTTTGGCCTGCCACTTACCGAAGTGCCGGGAAATCCCTGGCCAATATTCGATGTGCTGATGCAAGACTAATAACAATGGGAACAGACTCTGTGCAGTGTGTGAAAAAAAAAGTGTAGTTCAACCCATTCTTTGGGATCCTGCAGCAACAATGTCCACGCCATTTGTGGAATATGTAATGAAGCAGACGAAGGGTACGGAGGGAAAATTACTTGCCAAATATAGGATAATAAAATAAGTATCAGGAACAAGAGGCTAATCCTATTTTACAAGCTCAAGGCGCCAAGATGCTGATAAAGTCAGATGCAAAATTCCCTCCAGCGAAAGTTGGAGATAATGTAGGCATCCGTATACCATATGTTGAAAGAGGTCGAGGTGATCCACGAAGCGTCCTTGCAGTTGCCATGAACGTCGGGGGCGCTTTCTTCAAATTAGGAACAGAACACGGTGTTCTCAAACAACAGTATAACAGAAGTGAGTTGTCCATTCTGCACGAGAACCTGCTCACATCCGCTGGGCACAGAAGAAAAATCACTACAAACGGTCGCGTCTTCACAATCACTGACCGGCAGGAAGGCTGCACTCGATACAAATGCCCTACCAGATGCTCGGCAAATCGCTGCAAATGCAAAAATAACAAACTGCTGTGCAATTTGAAATGTCATAAAAGTTCATCTTGTTGTAACAAGTGATGTTAGAGATTAATAATTTACTATAATAAACTAATTTGACTGGTTTTGGTAATTTAGTCTAATTAATAATCAATAAAATGTGGTTATCATTACGGTCTACAAACACCCAAAATCTGCTCATGACATTTTTCTTCCGACTTTGGCCGATCGCCGCATGCCATTTCGCAAACTGGCTGGCCAAATCCCGAAACCAAGAAAAGATAAGACATTGGCCGGTCAATGTGAGGCGATAGTGGCTATTTCCCGATCTGGCCGGCCAGTTCCGACTTTGGCCCGATTTCCGGCTTCGGCCGTAAAATATACAATACGGGGAAATAATCAATCTCGATATTGAGATTTGAAATTATAAAGTGGTCGGGGCGAAATTATGTATTCCCGTTAATAAATGTAGACTATTGGCAGTCACATTATTTTTTATAAAACTTAAACTCAAGCATCGTTATGAGAGAGCGCATACTCTGTATTGACAAGATACAATATAAACACAGGCAGATAAGCGTTAGGATTGCGTTATAAACACGGAGACATAAGCCCGTAGGATTGCGTTATAAACACGGAGACATAAGCCGTAGGATTGCGTTATAAACACAGGCAGATAAGCCCGTAGGATTGGGCATGAGCTCTTGTGACCTTACATTTCGACTGAAGCTCGAAAACGTAATTATTGTAATTTTAGTAAATAAGTTATTTGAAATAAATTGCTTTTATACATATGACAATCTATTTTTTGGCCCAGTCTAGTCCTGTCTTCTCTACTTTTCTGAAGACCATTTCGGCCCAATCTAGACTTGTCCTGTGTACATTAGTGAAAAACCGGAATTTGCCCATTTCTGGACCTGTCATCTGTGAAGACTGGTTCAGCCGTTCGCCAGTTTATGACCAAACGACAGGTCACGAGAGAAATGAACGAGCGCCAACTCAATTTTTGTTCAGCACGTGCTCTGCCTACTGACGTCAACAGCTCAGCACCTGGACCAGTGAGTGATTTAAGCTGGGGTGTTGGGCAAAATGTCAGTTCGCTGTTGCCACCAGCAGACTTATTACGTCTACATTAGCAGACAGCAGAATATCACCAGCTGAATAAGTTCATTCATGAACGAGATCACCATATGAATACGTTCATTGAAACATATGGCCATATTAATAAGTTCATGAACGTAACATCATATGAAGAAGTTCAAGAACCATATCCCCATAATTTCTCTTTAATATCAATTGCATTATTCCATTTTAATTCTATTTCTATAAGTCCACATCTTTTCGTCTCTACATCAAGGTCAACTTCCACTTCTCAAGGTCTTAGGTGTCTAGTCTACTTTCACATAATGATTACTTTGATTTGATTGACTGATTGATTGATTGATTGAGTGATTGAGTGATTGATTGAGTGATTGAGTGATTGATTGATTGATTTAGTGATTGAGACCGGTGTTACCTGCTCAAGTTGCTGTCAACTTACTTTGAAGCAAATTTTCTTTTTACAATTCGTTTGGTTGTCCTGTTTGCTGTATAATGTTATTGCGGAAAACCTCTTTTGAAATGCCTCCCCTCCCCCGACCCTCGCCTTCCCTCCCCCGACCCTCATCTCCCCCTCCCCCCCCCCTATATCCTTCAAGCTTTCCCATGTCTCTTTTTCCGACGCATACGGGCAAGAGATAGAGGGCAGCTCTGCATTAAACAGGGTAGAAACATTAGACTATAGGATCTTGCGTTTTAGTGTCCCAAAACTAATCAAATAAGTGTACCGTATTTTAGTGTCCCAAAACTAATCAAATAAGTGTACCGTATTTTAGTGTCCCAAAACTAATCAAATAAGTGTACCGTATTTTAGTGTCCCAAAACTAATCAAATAAGTGTACCGTATTTTAGTGTCCCAAAACTAATCAAATAAGTGTACCGTATTTTAGTGTCCCAAAACTAATCAAATAAGTGTACCGTATTTTAGTGTCCCAAAACTAATCAAATAAGTGTACCGTATTTTAGTGTCCCAAAACTAATCAAATAAGTGTACCGTATTTTAGTGTCCCAAAACTAATCAAATAAGTGTACCGTATTTTAGTGTCCCAAAACTAATCAAATAAGTGTACCGTATTTTCGCGCATATAAGACGCACCCGCATATAAGACGCGGGTTTGGCAATTTGTGTTAACAAAAATTAGACACACGTGGCCTAGCCATCTGCCGCACTGAGCAAGTTTTCAATGTTTCATACCGCGTCAGGTGTAAACAAGGCTTCATTACCATTTTTAGTTCGAAGTGACTATTCGCACCCGGGTACCAGAAGTGAGAGGTTGGGAGTAAAAAAAAACTATTTAAAATATTATTGTTCTGTTGGTAAGACAAAAATGGGGTATCAAATGAAAGATAATTGAATGGACTATGTGTTTGTAAACTTACTTCTTCAGTTTATCTTAAATTAACTACCACAAATGACATCCGAATAGTATTGGTCTAATGGGGTGCGAATGGCGGCACTAAATAAGGGCGTCGCTCCAAATAAGAGAATAAGCGCAATCTGTGGCGGGGCGCCCCATTCGCTCCCAGCTCCTACGCCCTTGAATCTACATTCTAGAATTTCTCGTCTTTGCGACTTCGTCATTTAAAAGTGATATGGTGAAACTTGTTGATTTCGTCAAGTGATTGATACAAGTGTTATAGTGAAGCTTGTTGATTTCGTCAAGTGATTGATACAAGTGATATGGTGAAGCTTGTTGATTTCGTCAAGTGATTGATACAAGTGATATAGTGAAACTTGTTGATTTCGTCAAGTGATTGATATGTCCTGAACTTTGACGACGAGGAAACTAAAGTGCTTAATGTAAAGATTAAAAGTCCGAATTAAAACATAGAATCTGTTGCATTTTTTAAAAACGCATCATATGACATCATATTCTATGTTTGATCCTTATGTTTTTTCTTACGTAAAGGAATTTAATTTTTAAAAAATAATACAAACAGGTAAGCATTTCTGTATATCTGGTCAAGATCTATTCGTTGCAGGTCCGGGCGGAGAGGGGGAGGAGATCTGGTCAAGATCTATTCGTTGCAGGTCCGGGTGGAGAGGGGGAGGACGAGGAAAAAAGTGGGGTGGGGGAGTCCGGAGGGAGTCGACACCAACCCTAGAGACGCCTCCGTGTATATATACTCTCTGTTTATATATATATACTCTCTGTTTATATATATATACTCTCTGTTTATATATATATATACTCTCTGTTTATATATATATACTCTCTGTTTTTATATATATACTCTCTGTTTATATATATATATATACTCTCTGTTTATATATATATACTCTCTGTTTATATATATATACTCTCTGTTTATATATATATACTCTCTGTTTATATATATATATATACTCTCTGTTTATATATATACATACTCTCTGTTTATATATATATATACTCTCTGTTTATATATATACTCTCTGTTTATATATATATACTCTCTGTTTACATATATATACTCTCTGTTTATATATATATACTCTCTGTTTATATATATATACTCTCTGTTTATATATATATATATATATACTCTGTTTATATATATATACTCTCTGTTTATATATATACATATTTCGGGGAGGTGGGAGGGGAGTTGTGTTTACAATATTTTTATTTCCAAGTACATCTGCAGCAGAAGCATCAGTAGCTACATTACAAGCACGTCAACTTGAAATGTATTACCACCATGCCAAGCGCACTAAACAAAAATGGGACTTCTAATGTCAGGCCACGCCCACCTCCGTCTGCGTCTCTCTTGTCGAGCTCAAATGTCACCTTGAGCTGTGTCAATCCCACTTTAGGAGTCTTGAAATCAGCATGTCAGGGTCCATCATCGCCTGCTAATCTCATTGTAATGCAGACTCATGACTCTCGAAGCCAGCAGTTCTAAACCTTTCTTATGCCGCAACCTTTTAATACAGTTCCTCATGTTGTGGTGACACCCCCCAACTAACCGTACAATTATTTTCGTTGCTACTTTATAAATATGTGTTTTCCGATGGTCTTAGGCGACACCAGTCTAAGGGTCGATGGATACCCAAAAGGGTCGCGACCCACTTGTTGAGAACCACTGCTCTAAGCCAATAAACTCTTGAAACCAGCAAAAGTCTGAAAAATGTCATTCTAGGAAGCCGACCCCCAAGGCAATTTTAAAAAGAGAGGGGGGGGGGAATAACACCAACAAACTCCCCCACCCCTCAAATGTTAGTGTAACTGGAAGCATTTTGGTCAATGGGGGTGTTTAATTTGTCAACAGGACTGTCCAACCGGGAGCTACAACTTGCAGTTGGAACTGCACTAGACAAGATGGTGTGGCCCGGGGGAATTGGGGTGGGCGGGGGGGGGGGGGGATCCTGTCACCAATCGACACGAGACGAATGGGNGGGAGTGATCCTGTCACCAATCAACACGAGACGAACGGGTAACTGGGGGGGGGGGAGTGATCCTGTCACCAATCGACACGAGACGAATGGGTAACTGGGGGGGGGGAGTGATCTTGTCACCAATCGACACGAGACGAATGGGTAACTGAAGCTGAATTTCGTTCACTGCAAATTATAAAGGAAAATGTTGAAGAGACTAAGATTTTAACCTCACCCACCTTCCTGACTCTGGGACTAAGATTTTAACCTCACCAACCTTCCTGACTCTGGGACTAAGATTTTAACCTCACCAACCTTCCTGACTCTGGGACTACGATTTTAACCTCACCAACCTTCCTGGCTCTGGGACTAAGATTTTAACCTCACCAACCTTCCTGACTCTGGGACTAAGATTTTAACCTCACCCACCTTCCTGACTCTGGGACTACGATTTTAACCTCACCAACCTTCCTGAATCTGGGACTAAGATTTTAAATTCACCAATCTTCCTGACTCTGGGACTAATATTTTAACCTCACCATCCTTCCTGACTCTGGGACTAAGATTTTAACCTCACCAACCTTCCTGACTCTGGGACTAAGATTTTAACCTCACCAACCTTCCTGACTCTGGGACTAAGATTTTAACCTCACCAACCTTCCTGACTCTGTGACTAAGATTTTAACTTCACCAACCTTCCTGACTCTGGGACTAAGATTTCTACATCAACAACTTTCCTGACTCTACGACTAATATTTCTATCTCACCAACCCTCCTGAATCTGCGACTGAGATTTCTACCTCTGCAACCTTCCTGACTCTCTGATTAAAATTTCTACCTCACCAAGGTTCCTGACCCTGCGACTAAGATTTCTACCTCACCAAGTTTCATGGCTTTGGGACAATTGTTTCTTTATGACCCTGGGACTCAGATTTTTTTCGGAATTTGGAACTGAAATTTATTTATTACACTAAGAATAGGATTTCTACCTGACAAAAGTTCATGACTCTGGGACTGAAATTTCTTCCTGACTCCGAGACTAAGATTTCTACCTCACCAACCTTCGTGAATCAGGGTCTAAGATTTCAAGTTCCCCAACCTTCTTGACTCCGGGACTAAGATTTCTATATCACCAACCTTCCTGGCTGGCTCTCCGACTAAGATTTCTTCCTCACCAACCTTCCTGACTCTGCGACTAAGATTTCTCCTCACCAACCTTCCCGACTCTGGGACTAAGATTTCTCCTCACCAACCTTCCTGACTCTGGGACATGACTTTAACCTCGCCAACTTTCATGACTCTGGGACTGAGATTTCTTCATGAATCTGGGTTTTAGGTTTCTTCTTGACTCTGAGACTAAGATTTCTACCTCACACACTTTCATGACTCTGGAACTCACATTTCTTCATGACTGTGGGCTTGAGTTTTCCCTATCTCTGGATCTGAGATTTTTTTATAACTCTGAGACTAAGATGTCTTTCTTACAAACCTTCATGAATTTGGAACTAAGATTTCATCATGACTCTGTGACTGAGATTTCTTCATGACTCTGGGACGGAGATTTCTTCCTGATTTTGGGACTGATATTTCTCACTTACTCTAGGACTGAGATTTCTTCCTGACGCTGGTACTGATATTTCTTCCTGAATCTGAGACATAGATCTGAATCTGAGACATAGATTTTTACCTCACGAACCTTCATGACTCTGGGATTGAAATTTCTTTCTGACTCTGAGACTAACATTTGTACCCTTCATGACATTTGAACTGAGATTTGTTTATGACTCTTTGACTGATATTTCTTCCTGACTCTGGGATTAAGATTTCTTCCTGAATCTGGGACTGAGATTTCTTCCTAACTCTGGGACTGAGATTTCTTCACGACTCTGGGACTGACTTTTCTTCCCTACTTTGGCGTCTGTGAAAACTTGTAAATTCGTGACCAAATGACGCATACTTCTCATGAGCCTTGCTGCATTCCTTGTTTTAACAAATGGGAGACTCACTATCCTGTATCTGATTGACCCATGTCCGTTGTTTCCTGTAACGGCAATTGTTTATAAATTCTTATTTTCCTCCGCTATACACCCCTCCCACCCACCCCCTCTCTTCTTTCTTCGCATGGCCTCTCAACATCATCGGCGCCAGGGCACGGTCCGGACATCCCTCAGACATGAGCTGGGCCCCAGTACGAAGATAAAGTGGCTGTAGATATGCAGACAATCTTTTGGATTAAAAGCACGTTGTTAGCTAAAAAAATCGGAGGGGTGAAAAATGTCATTGACGACATGAGTGGGCCCCAGGGACCGTAACGTTCGGCGCACGCGGCCATTCAGCTCTCGGGAATCTACCGGCCTGGAAGTCTTCATTAACGGTTGTTGTTTTTAAAAATATGTTTTTATGTATTTAGATTTATTGTGTGGAAATCATCTCCCCTGGAAATTGTGTTGAATGAATCGGTCGACGGGAGATAATGGACGGGAAAAAAAACCACCAAAAAAAAAAAACCAACAACATCGAGGCATGAGATGAGAAATTAAAATAAGGTGCTGAATAAAGCTTTGATCAGCGTATGTCAACAGCTGCAGAGAATCTGGTCTCTGCTACTCTGTTAGAATTTAGATGACAGAAAAGGCGTCGCTTCACGTCTTGATATATCTATTTACATATTTAAAAAAAAAATATTTTTGAGGGGTTAGGGTTGAGTTGTGCTGGCAGGGTGTAGGGCGATCAACATCACAACATGTACCCCCTCCTCCTCCCCCCCTTATTTACATGGCTCCTCTAAGTGCCATTATTTGGAAATGTCTGGCAATGAAGGAACCCGGATGGAGCCAGGGTAATTTTACGATAATCACATTTATTCGCCCGTTCACCGCCATTATCCTCTACAGCCGACGAGGTTGGAATTAGGAAACCAGTGCATCGGCGCATCGACGTAAATAGACATCACTGGAAGAAATCCAGGACTTGTGTCTGGGAGAGATCTCAGAAGAAGGCAGTGTTTACAACTGGAAGAAATCCAGGACTTGTTCTTGTAGAGGTCTCCGAAGACGGCAGCGTTTACGACATTTAGTTTTTCATTGTTTTTGATATTGATGCTATTATTCAATCACAATACTAGAAATGGCAAATCTCCTTTTTCCACGTATTAAAGTCAGAACCCATAATTTTCGTCTTATGGTGACAGCTCTTATAATGACATCACTTATAATACCAGGTCTTATAATCAGAGCACTTATAATGACAGCAATTATAATTACAGGTTTTATAATGACAGCACTTATAATGACAGCACTTATAATGACAGGTCTTATAATGACAGCACTTATAATGACGGCTCTCATTATCACAGGTCTGTTAGCGTACGATCTAAAGGCGACCCTATTAAAGAAACCTCTTTTAACCAGAGTCCAGATAATGATCTAAAGGCGACCCTATTAAAGAAATCTCTTTTAACAAGAGTCCAGATAATGAAAGCTTTATAAAAATCGTATTCATTCCCGACGGTTCTGTTCACGTTGGTTCTGATAGACCCACGAAATCAGCTTTGCAGAACCCCTTCCACCACGAAGCCACAAAACCATCGGTTTCTAAAAGTCACGATGAGATCGAAGGAGGTCAGACCCTCGATGAGTCCGTCTAGAAATGAAATGGGCCCAATGATACACTTTTTATCACCAATGAAAAAAAATTGGATGTTAGCGATGAACGGAACGTGGTCAATTTGAAATGGCATGAGGTCAAGAGGGGAGGCAATTATATCAACTAGTTGGGATTCCTCCATAATGATTGACGCCCCCTTCACTTACCGTTTGATGTTATCCCCAGGTCCATGCTCGACCTGACGTCAAAGATGAGGGCGTGCACCACCCGACTGTACGCCACGCTCATAATGACGACCGGAAGTATGAGCAGAGTCAGGTCCAGCAGGATGGTGTACGCCTGCTCCACGCGCTCGTTGGGCCACACTTCGATGCACTTGTGCCCACCCTTAGGGAGCTCCGTGTTTTGTTGGAACACCGCAGTGGGCGTCATCAGGGCAGCTGATATGATCCAACATACAACAATACATCTGAGGATAGAATAGGATTTGTATGTGTTAGATTGGGGGGGGGAGTGCTAATTGTATTTTGGACAGACCGAACTTCGCAATAATTGTATAATAGACCGACCAAACATGGTTATAATTACCCTCATTGGTTATAATTACCCTGATTGCATTCTAGACGGACCACAAATGGTAATAAATGTATACTAGACTGATCAAACCTTGTAATAATTACCCTAAATGTATAATTGACTGACCGAACATGGTAATGATTTTATACTAGACTGACCAAACGTGTTAATAATTACCCTAATCGTATGCTAGACTGCCCATACATGGTAATAACCGGTAAACTGGACTGACCAAACGTGGCCTTTATTGTACTCAACATACGCCTGATCAGACATAAGAAGTAAGAGTTTGTGATTGACATGGTTTTGACATAGTTCTACTGATACAAACGTGCTTGGTTCCTCGCTTCTGCTGCTGCATATTTAATCTCCAAGTTTTGAAAACGTATACATTTCACAGACTTCGAAACAAACTTCATTTTGGTACACGAAGTCCCATGCATGTTTCATCGTCCTCACAAATAAAAGTGTTTAAGCTAAAAAATTATAGGAATATAATCAAAAGTATCTCATTAGATATCTGCACTAAGAAACTTAAAGGAAAGAATTTCTGTTAATGTATACAACTGTTTAATGCGTGCAACAAATTTACATAAAGACTTTACCAAATTTCTTTTTGGAAAGACACGCCCCTCATCACCTTTTTTTTTTAGAAGCCCCCAAGAAGTTTTTAAAAAAAATTGTTTCGTGGAATTTAATCTAGTAACGTCGTAATTTAAAAAAAAAAAAAAACAACAACCCGCGAATAATTAAACTGATGGCCGTGTCACGTGACTGCCCGGCCGGTGTGGTCACTTCAATAAAAATGTGCACGCGCGACTCAAAACGCACCACTTACTTGTAGGCGTGTGACAAGGTCTGCCATGACCTGGAATGAAGCGGTCTGCAGATGGCGAAGTACCGCTCCAAAGAGATGGCCACCAGGGTGAAGCAGCTGACCCCTACTGACATGGCTGGAATGATATCAAAATGGAGGCACGAGATTATCGATTATTGCTCGTAAAACTTAAACAACCCCTAACAATAAAATTGTATAAATCCATTATAATAAATAATATTACGCAGCTGGGGGAGAGGATGTGGCTGAATATTTGACAAAAGATGCATACAAGGAGCCCACTTTAAAATAACCCAAAATAGTGCCCCCCCCCACGCCCCATTAAAGGCTAAGAACCGCACATTTTTTCACGCCCCTCAACTATATTTTTATATTCTTATTTGGCTGCGACTTTTCGCACCCGGGTACCAGAAGTGAGAGGTTGGGATTAAAAAAAACTATTTAAAATATTATTGTTGGGTTTGTAAGACACAAATGAGGTATCAAATGAAAGATAATTGAATGGGCTATATGTTTGTAAACCTACTTCTTCAGTTTAATTAAATAAACTACCACAAATGACATCCGAATAGCATTGAGTCTTTGATGCATTGACGGAAGTGATGAGGGTCATCTTTGGTACATATGACGGGCGCCAAAAGGGTCGTCTTTGACAATATGACGGAAGTCAAGAGGGTCGTCTTTGACAATATGACGGAAGTCAAGAGGGTCGTCTTTGATACATTTGACGAAGTCACGAGGGTCGTCTTTGATACCTTTGACGGGAGTCATGTGGGTCGTCTTTGATACCTTTGACGGGAGTCATGTGGGTCGTCTTTGATACCTTTGACGGGAGTCATGTGGGTCGCCTTTGATACCTTTGACGGGAGTCATGTGGGTCGCCTTTGATACCTTTGATGGGAGTCATGTGGGTCGTCTTTGATACCTTTGACGGGAGTCATGTGGGTCGTCTTTGATACGCACGACGAGCCCCTAAACGGTCGTCTTTGATACTTTTGACGGAAGTCACATGAGTCGTCTTTGATGCATATTACAGACGCCACGAGGGTCGTCTTTGATACATAAGACAGTCGCATTGCAAATCACAATTTCCATAATTCCCTTTACCTTAATAAAAATATCTTAATTTTGTTTATGGGCTTCGTTATAAAAAAAAACCCAAACAACATGAACAAAAAACGTCGCTTTCAACCGGGAGTCTCCTGCAGTTGTTGGTGAGTTGTCTTGTTGACTTGACAACTCTGTTCAAATCAACTAATTGGTCAATCCATTACTGGCTTACCTAACCTGACTCACAGAGATCGAGCATTCATGCAGCGGAGAGATTGAATCAGCCCTCTTGTTTGATCACGCGTGCTGGTGGGATACGGTGGACTTGTGGACATATCTTGTTTTCATTCATCGACAGAGTTGTGTACCGTTGCTAAGACGCTATTACTTAATGTTTAGCTATTTCCTTCATTTATTCTTCTAGCTTTTCCCGTGGCGTAATTAATAGTTTATTAACTAAACACATTTCTGGCCTCAACTCTGTATTAACAAGAGGGTTCTGAGAGTTGGTTTGAGTCAAATTTCTTATCTTGGTCATTTATTACCATTATTATTTCATGCGCTGTTTGTTCCACGGAATACATTTCATTACTTCGTTTTCTTTATCAGTAATGTAAATTAATTGAAATGTTACTTTGTTACATGCATCATTACCTGTGTGATTCTAGCCTTCTGGTAAAATTTAACCCCCCCCCCCACACACACACACACCTCCTTTTGTTTTATAAACGTCAATTAAATTCAAATTCAAAAATTAATAGCATTCGCAACAGCTTGAAACATAAAGCCAGAAGGAATACGCTCAGGGGCGGCGTCAAGTTGCTGGCGCTCCGGGCAAGCGTAACTTTGGCGCCCTTTTTAGGTATAATCATTGAAATTTGTGCAAGAAAAAAATAGGTATCAGGTAATGAGTTTATTACCTAGTTTTTTTTTTTTTTTAAAGCAAAAATGAGTAATAAAATTGTGTGTTTCTTAACTTGTATTTGGAAAGTATGAAAATTTAGCCTGCCGTGGTCAGTATGAACAATTAGCCTACTGTGGTCAGTATGAACAATTAGCCTACCGTGGTCAGTATGAGCAATAAAAAAAAAAAAAAGTATCAGGTAATGAGTTTATTACCTAGTTTTTTTTTTTTTAAAGCAAAAATGAGTAATAAAATTGTGTGTTTCTTAACTTGTATTTGGAAAGTATGAACAATTAGCCTGCCGTGGTCAGTATGAACAATTAGCCTACTGTGGTCAGTATGAACAATTAGCCTACCGTGGTCAGTATGAGCAATTACCCTACCGTGGTCAGTAGGAACAAATAGCCTACCATAGGAAGTATGAACAATTAGTCAACCAATGACATTTTTTCCCTAGCCTTAAGATCAGAAAATATTCTTATTGCACTTCTACTTTTCTTCCATTGCGCCCACATGCAATGATTTTTCCTATTTTTGCAAGTGCGTTGATGACGCCCTAAGCACATCAACCAATTTGCCGGTACTTTGAACCGGCCCCGAGGGGCTTAGGGAGGGAGTGGTACTTATTTTACCTTCCCCGGGCGGCACTAACCCCTAGCTACGTCACTGGCTAAGCTTAAAACGTGTGCCCTTTTGGATAAGTTGGAAATGTATGCCCTAAAAGATATTTTTTAAATATATGCCCATGCAAGAGTCAGTTAATAATGTATTTCCAAGGGGTAAGATTGAATATTCAAACCTAATCGCACATAAATTCTCATTCTTCCCTCTTTCACAAACAGTTAAATTGGCTGCCCTCACGACCCTTCTCAACGTTGGCTTAGCAGGCGCTTAAAGTGGAAATCCCACTGCCAAGACTCAATTGAATTAAACCACTCGCCTCACGTTCGAGTGCCAATACAGATCACACGAGGCACCTGCGTCATTAATGACGTAAGCCAAGTCCAACTTGTTAACTTCTGGATACAACCATGAAATGCAGACGACAGTTGAGAAAAAAAGTCTTGGGAATAGATTTACTCTGGGTAATTTCGACTCCAGGGGATAAACTTCGAATATTACCCTCGTTCTGAAACTGAGGTCACGACTAGAGCTCTAATTCATGACATCAAAGAACACTTCAGAAGTCTATTTTTAAAATACAGTGTATTAAGTGTCAGTGTACCAACCATTTCTAAGAGACCATGGTGTAGTTTTGGCGCCCGTTAGGGACTTACGAAGCTTGTGAGGGGTGTTTTATGGAGAATAAACCGTTTCCCAGCCAGCAGACAGTTTATTTTGTTAACTCCCGTCGCACCAAATGCACATTATAGGCGCTTCGAGAAAGATAAACCTAACTGACCACAGACTCCTTTCACGTATAGAACGACATGACCACAGGCATCTATCACATATAGAAGATATGACCACAGACATCTATCACATATAGAAGAAATGAACACATGTACTTATCACATATAGAACGACATTACCACAGGCACCTATCAGATATTATAGAACTACTTGACCACAGGCACGACCACATATAGAATTACATGACCACAGGCTCCACCACATATAGAATTACATGACCACAGGTACTTATCACATATAGAACGACATTACCACAGGCACCTATCAAATATTATAGAACTACATGACCACATGCATCTATCAAATATTATAGAACTACATGACCACAGGCACCAACACATATAGAATTACATGACCACAGGTACTTATCACATATAGAACGACATTACCACAGGCACCTATCAAATATTATAGAACTACATGACCACATGCATCTATCAAATATTATAGCATGACCACAGGCACCAACACATATAGAATTACATGACCACAGGTACTTATCACATATAGAACGACATTACCACAGGCACCTATCAAATATTATAGAACTACATGACCACAGGCACCACCACATATAGAATTACATGACCACAGGCACCACCACATATAGAACTACATGACCACAGGCACCACCACATATAGAATTACATGAGGTTACGAAAACACGTTAGCAGCAGCATAACCAATAAGACTGTCAGCAAAATGTAATCCTTGTCAACTTTCTGTTTCCAATTTACAATGTCACCTCAACGGGGAGGCAGTATGGTACTGGCAGTATCACGCAAGGTTGGGGGGGGGGGCACTGGCAAAGAAAGCTTGAGGCGCGGGGGGCCGGGGGGGCGCGGGGCGGTCCACCTTGGGTGGCACTTTTTTATATACACTGAGGGGCGGCATATTTTGGCCAACCAAAGAGGTTTCTTTTACTGGGAGAAAGGGGGCGGAAAAAAATATCGTAACACCCCCCCCCCCCCCTTAAAACACTGGTTGAAAGGAAGGGAGGGGAAGGCCTACCGAAGACATATGGCGCCGGGTCGGTGCTGATGTTAAAAGCTCAAGTTTTATCAAATTGTACACATTGTCCTTATCGGTCTGATATAATGTGATATTTTAATAAAATAATATGGTTTGATGTAATATGCTTTCATGTAATATGGTTTGATGTAGTATGGTTTGATGTATTATGGTATGATGTAATATGCTTTCATGTAATGTGGTTTGATGTAGTATGGTTTGATGTATTATGGTATGATTTAATATGCTTTCATGTGTGTGTGTGTTGTGTTGTTCGTCCGTCGAGGATCGACGATGACCATCGAGTCGTCTGGTGACTGATGACTTGCGCGGGTGACTTTTGTTTAAAGTGAGGAAGAGTTGCGCAGCGTCAACCTCACTCTCTCGTCCGAGCCCACCATATCCAGTGGCAAGACTCTACGTCAAGACGACCAGGGATGGGTACGGTTCCAGGAATTGTCATTGTATGCGCCTTACGGGACTCCAACTCCGGGTTTGAATTCAGAGTTTCCTTCTCTTAGATGAGTTGCCGACCAAGGTTAACGAGTCTCATCCACCCGGGGTGATGTTTTTGCTTGACCGGCCTTTGGCTGAAATTGAGGTTTGCTCAGTTTAGACCATTCGGCCACCCAGTCACCCATGCAGTGAATGACCATGGCGTTCTACGTGTCTGGTCATGTTCTCAGCGATTCACACCACTGTGCTGTCTCCGCCTTTTGTCCGTTGACCAAGTAGTGGTTCTTCCGCACAATTTGCCGGATTCAGTCT